CAGAAGTACCACCCTGAGGAAGCTGAAACAAGCCATCTTTGCAACAAGTTCAGTGACAAAACCATGTCCCATTTTAGGGAAATCTTAAAGAGGTGCCAGAAACAAGGCATCAGAAACAGAGGACTGTGGACAGTTATTTTGTGAGACAGGGGTCCAGTGACTCTCAAGCTGGTCTTATTGGCATTAAAAGACAGAGAAGGGAAGTAACCCCAGAGAGGGCTTTGATACCTGAAGTCCTCATGGAGGGGGATTCTCCTTCCAAACACTAACCCCGACTCCCTCTCTCCTGCTCCCTATCTTCCAGATGCCATCACCAATCTTCAATAAAGGTAAGTAAAAATGTTATTTTATATGTTTATTTACATTTATTAATATATAATTGAACACTATATTTGTTGTGTGTATGTAAAACTGTAATTAATCTTTATAAAATGTATTTTTTTGTGGATATTTTTGGGTTTCTGGAACAGATTAATTGTATTTCTATTATTTCTTATGGGAAATACTGCTTCGCTTTTCAGACTTTTCGAATTTAGAACTAGCTCCTGGAACGGATTAAGTTCAATATTTGAGGCTCCACTGTACTAGGAAAAGCCCAAACCATCACCGCAGACTTACCATTTGAACAATCTTCTGATTATAATCAGGTAAAATATTGTCTTTTGAAAGCATATGACTTGTTACCTGTTAGTTACTTAAAGATGTATAGAACTTTAAAGGAACATCCTCAACAATCTTGGGTAGACTTTGCCAGAGCAAAGCTCTCAGCTTTTGAACGTTGGCGTAGGGCCACGGGAGGCTCCTCTATAGAGTCACTTTCCCAGTTGACATTACATGAAGACCTTTTTAAGTATTTCCCGGAGAGGGCTCATACATATCTTTTGACATTTCCTACTACTAATTTGTTAGATACTGCTGCCCATGCAGATCATGCTATAACCATGGAAATGGCTAAGACCCCAGAAAAGAAATCTGCCTCCCTAAGTTATAGTTTAAAGATGTCTACTAGGAAAGCTCCAGCTGTCGAACCACTGAAGCAGGTGCTTTCTGGGAAAAACAAGTGATAAACAGCTCTCTTTCCAGGCATTACCCTAAAGAACAATTACCACTGTGCCTTTTTTGTAATAAGTTAGGTCATAGGCAGTTCCAGTGTTGGCATAAACAGCAGGAAGATAAAACCCAACCAAGAGGGAGATATCCTACTCAGGTAATAAATTACTCTTGGAAATCTATGACTCTGTATGATGAATCTTTTACCTTTATAGGCCTCGTCTAGCAGTCCATCTTATAGGTGACTTTACCACAATAGTACTTCAGAAGAAATGGTCCGAGCAGCTATGGAACCCTACTTTTCCAAAGGGAAGTCTGGACTCAGTAAAGAAAGTTTAGTAAACATTATGACCTTTCGAGATACAGGCAGCTATCTCTCTCTGTTAAGATCAAACCTGGAAAAGTTACCTAGTAGTAGTGAACCCCGGCTGGACGTAATATTAGAGGCATATGGAGGCACTATAATAAACGTCCCCATTATAAGGATTTATGTACAACTGCCTGGATATAAAGGCTGGATTAACGTGGGACTTTCGGACAAACCTTTCCCTATTGCCGCCATCGATCTATTAATCGGGAATGAAATTGATCAATTAGAGATACCCAAAGAACCTCTAGTTTTAGACAATCCCAGCAATATAAATTATGCATTAGCAGCTTCTGAGGCAGGACTGGATTTATTCCCTCTTAATGTGACCACCAGAGCCATGGCTAAAGACTCTAAACATGTGGATAGCCCACAGCCATTAGAAGAATCCAATGAATTAGGTTTAAACTTCCTGTTTAGCGAAGCAATTCAGACCAGAACCACAGGTGACACTAAGAATGTTTTACCAGTCCCTGCAGACCTAGCTAGAAAATGTAATAAAGAGGAATTTCTTCAAGCTCTAAAGGACGACATAAGTCTAACAAATAAGAATACAGAAGGAGGTTTCCTGTTAGATGAGGATGGTTTTCTTTGGAGACAAAATAATGATAATGACGCTATTTTAAAGGCAAACTTGTTAGTGGTCCCCTCGTCCTTGCATAATATGGTATTTGAACTAGCACATGATATCTGCTGGGAGGTCATTCAGGATCCCGTAAGACCAAAAAGAAGATTCAGAAATATTTTTATTGGCCTCAGATGAGGACCTATGTTACTGACAAACTATGGAACTGCCATGTTTGTCGAATAATAGGCAAAATAAAGAGGAATTTCTTCAAGCTCTAAAGGACGACGTAAGTCTACCAAATAAGAATACAGAAGAAGGTTTCCTGTTAGATGAGGACGGTTTTCTTTGGAGAAGAAATAATGCTAATGACTCTATTTCAAAGGGAAACTTACTAGTGGTCCCCTCGTCCTTGTGTAATATGGAATTTGAACTACCTCTAACTGCAGCTACAACTAAATAATGATCTGATATCTCTGTTGCCCCTCTATAAACACACTGCAGAATCTTCTTCTTTCAACAAACCGGCCATATCCCACCAAGGCAGGGTGGCCCAAAAAGAAGAACATAAGTTTCTCTTTTTAAATTTAGTAATATATACAGGAGAAGGGGTTACTAGCCTTGTGCTCCCGGCATTTTAGTTGCCTCTTATGACACACATGGCTTACAGGGGAAGACTTCAGTTCCACTTCGCCAGGGAGAATATTGTAGATTTTTTTTTTCTTTTTAAACAAGTCGGCCATCTCTCACTGAGGCAGGGTGACCCAAAAAGAAAATGCTTTCATCATCATTCAACACTTTCACCTCACTCACACAAAATCACTGTTTTTGCAGAGGTGCTCAGAATGCAACAGTTTAGAAGTATATACGTATAAAGATACACAACATATCCCTCCAAACTGCCAATATCCCAAACCCCTCCTTTAAAGTGCAGGCATTGTACTTCCCATTTCCAGGACTTAAGTCCGGCTATATAAAATAACCAGTTTCCCTGAATCCCTTCACTAAATATTACCCTGCTCACACTCCAACAGCTCGTCAGGTCACAAATACCATTCATCTCCATTCATTCCTAACACGCTCATGCACGTGTGGTACATAATTAACATTATCCCAATATTTAAACCAAACCTAGGTAGTAGGTTGGTAGACAGCAACCGCCCAGGGAGGTACTACCGTCCTGCCAAGTGAGTGTAATTGTTTTACATGATGGTAGGATTGCTGGTGCCCTTTTTTTCTGTTTCATAAACATGCAAGATTTCAGGTACGTCTTGCTACTTCTACTTGCACTATGGTCACACTGCACATACATGTACAAGCATATATATACATACCCCTCTGGGTTTTCTTCTTTTTTCTTTCTAGTTCTTGTTCTTGTCTATTTCCTCTTATCTCTATGGGGAAGTGGAACAGAGTCCTTCCTCCGTAAGCCATGTGTGTTGTAAGAAGCAACTAAAATACCGGGAGAAAGGGGCTAGTAACCCCTTCTCCTGTATATAATTACTAAATTTAAAAGGCGAAACTTTCGTTTTTCCTTTTGGGCCACCCCACCTCAACGGGATATGGCTGGTGCATTGAAAGAAGAAGAATTTTAAACCAAAGACTTTATTGAATAACTAAAAAAATATACCCTGATGTCTCTCAGCCACCTATGTCAGTAAGCCATTTCTCATTAATGCCGAGTTGTTTAATTCCATGTCTGAGTTGTATAGCCGACTACGTACATTTTTTTTTTTTTCAACAAGTTGGCTGTCTCCCACCGAGGCAGGGTGACAAAAGAAAATACTTTCATCATCATTCAACACTTTCACCACACTCACACATTATCACTGTTTTTGCAGAGGCGCTCAGAATACAACAGTTTAGAAGCATAAACGTATAAAGATACACAACATATCCCTCCAAACTGCCAATATCCCAAACCCCTCCTTTAAAGTGCAAGCATTGTACTTCCCATTTCCAGGACTCAAGTCCGACTATATGAAAATAACCGGTTTCCCTGAATCCCTTCACTAAATATTACCCTACTCACACTCCAACAGATCGTCAAGTCCCAAGTATCATTCGTCTCCATTCACTCCTATCTAACACGCTCATGCACACTTGCTGGAAGTCCAAGCCCCTCGCCCACAAAACCTCCTTTACCCCCTCTTTCCAACCCTTTCGAGGACGACCCCTACCCCTCCTTCCTTCCCCTATAGATTTAAATGCTTTCCATGTCATTCTACTTTGATCCATTCTCTCTAAATGACCAAACCACCTCAACAACCCCTCTTCTGCCCTCTGACTAATACTTTTATTAACTCCACACCTTCTCCTAATTTCCACACTCCGAATTTTCTGCATAAAATTCTCATGTAATAAAGCACTACTTTAATACATGCCTTCAACTTTGGCCTCTCTCTAAACTACACTTATAAAGACCCAGCTAATTCTATAAATTTTGGCTTGGATAGGTTTGTTTTTACCTTAGCACTTCCAGAACTGAATAGAGCTTACCATACCGCTACCAGAAAAACTTACCTTTCCAAGCTGATCATCATGTACACCTCATGACTATACTTTCATAATCCATTTATAACTTTCTTGTCTTCAAACACACTGTCAAATGTTAATTTTCTACATGTATTAAGACTTTGTCCATAAGCCAAAATCAAGAAGTACAATGTCAAAAATATAAATAGTTTGGCATAGATAACTTGGGACTCTGGAAACCAAAAGAAGTTCATCTGACAGTTTGCCCAATGTTGGGATATTCTGATTTTGAGGAGGATTTTCCAGTTATAGTCTTCAATTTATTTAAAAATTGGAAATTTTGGAATAATTTGAGTTCCCTGAAATTTTCATAATCCTGAATGTGGGGAAAATTTGAGTTGTGCTGTAACACTGTATAAGAAAAACCCCATCAAATAAAGTGGAATGGATAAAAAACATCTGATTACCATGATTATGAGAGAAAAATATAGGTTCCTTGACCTTTGTCAGAACTAACTAGACAGACAGTTTGCTAATTCCTACCTTGAAACAATGAGCCCACATAGTCTTGTATGAAGTGTCAGTGATAGCTGACATTCTCATGTCTGGATGTGCCAGCTCAACTAGACCAACACAAACATCTCGAAGACTTGCTGACATCTTCACAAGCTCCTCCACGGTAAATGGTAACTGGTTTTGAGAGACTTTCGAGTTTCGACGCCCTCCTGTCTCATCTAGAAATAACACAAAACTAATATTAATTAATGGCTGAGAGTGAAAAAGAAAGTACATGAACTCATTTCCTTCGTCTAGTAGTAGCATACATTATTTTTTTTTACAAAAATAATAATGAAATTATTTAAAAACAATGAAGGATGACTCATCCTAGTTGATAATTTTTTTTTTTAAACAAGTCGGCCGTCTCCCACCGAGGCAGGGTGACCCAAAAAGAAAGAAAATCCCCAAAAAGAAAATAATTTCATCATTCAACTCATTCACCTCACTCACACAATCACTGTTTTTGTAGAGGTGCTCAGCACACAACAGCTTAGAAGCATATACGTATAAAGATACACAACATATCCCTCCAAACCGTCAATATCCCGAACCCCTCCTTTAGAGTGCAGTCATTGTACTTCCCATTTCAAGGACTCAAGTCTGGCTATATAAAAATAACCAGTTTCCCTGAATCACTTCACTAAATATTACCCTACTCACACTCCAACAGATCGTCAGGTCCCAAATACCATTCGTCTCCATTCACTCCTATTGAACACGCTCATGCACGCTTGCTGGAAGTCCAAGCCCCTCGCCCACAAAACCTCCCTTACCCCTTCCTTCCAAACTTTTCGAGGATGACCCCTACCCCGCCTTCCTTCCCCTACAGATTTAAATGCTCTCCATGTCATTCTACTTTGATCCATTCTCTCTAAATGACCAAACCACCTCAACAACCCCTCTTCAGCCCTCTGACTAATACTTTTACTAACTCCACACCTTCTTCTAATTTCCAAACTCCAAATTTTCTGCATAATATTTACACTACACATTTCCCTTAGACAGGACATCTCCACTGCCTCCAACTGCCTCCTCGCTGCTGCATTCACAACCCAAGCTTCACACCCATATAAGAGTGTTGGTACTACTATACTTTCATACATTCCCTTCTTTGCCTCCATAAATAATGTTTTATGTCTTATACCTCAATGCACCACTCATCTTTTTTCCCTCATCAATTCTATGATTAACCTCATCCTTCATAAATCCATCCGCCAACACGTCAACTCCCAAGTATCTGAAAACATTCACTTCTTCCATACTCCTCCTCCCCAATTTGACATCCAATTTCTCTTTATCTAAATCATTTAATACCCTCATCAGCTTACTCTTTTCTATGTTCACTTTCAACTTTCTACCTTTACACACACTCACAAACTCGTCCACTAGCCTTTGCAATTTTTCTTTAGAATCTCCCATAAGCACAGTATCATCAGCAAAAAGCAACTGTGTCAATTCCCATTTTGTATTTGATTCCCCATAATTTAATCCCACCCATCTCCTGAACACCCTAGCATTTACTTCTTTTACAACCCCATCTATAAATATATTAAACAACCATGGTGACATTACACATCCCTGTCTAAGACCTACTTTTACCGGGAAGTAGTCTCCCTCTCTTCTATACACCCCAACCTGAGCCTCACTATCCTCATAAAAACTCTTTACAGCATTTAGTAACTTACCACCTATTCCATATACTTGCAACATCTGCCACATTGCTCCCCTATCCACTCTATCATTTTTTTTTTTTCAACAAGTCGGCCGTCTCCCACCGAGGCAGGGTGACCCAAAAAAGAAAGAAAATCCCCAAAAAGAAAATACTTTCATCATCATTCAACACTTTCACCACACTCACAAATTATCACTGTTTTTGCAGAGGTGCTCAGAATACAACAGTTTAGAAGCATATACGTATAAAGATACACAACATATCCCTCCAAACTGCCAATATCCAAAACCCCTCCTTTAAAGTGCAGGCACTGTACTTCCCATTTCCAGGACTCAAGTCCGACTACATGAAAATAACCGGTTTCCCTGAATCCCTTCACTAAATATTACCCTGCTCACACTCCAACAGATCGTCAGGTCCCAAGTACCATTCGTCTCCTTTCACTATCTAACACGCTCACGCACACTTGCTGGAAGTCCAAGCCCCTCGCCCACAAAACCTCCTTTACCCCCCTCTCTCCAACCCTTTCGAGGACGACCCCTACCCCTCCTTCCTTCCCCTATAGATTTATATGCTTTCCATGTCATTCTACTTTGATCCATTCTCTCTAAATGACCAAACCACCTCAACAACCCCTCTTCTGCCCTCAGACTAATGCTTTTATTAACTCCACACCTTTTCCTAATTTCCACACTCCGAATTTTCTGCATAATATTTACACCACACATTGCCCTCAGACAGGACATCTCCACTGCCTCCAACCGTCTCCTCGCTGTTGCATTTACCACCCAAGCTTCACATCCATATAAGAGTGTTGGTACTACTATACTTTCATACATTCCCTTCTTTCCCTCCAGTGATAATGTTTTTGGACTCCACATATACCTCAACGCACCACTCACCTTTTTTCCCTCATCAATTCTATGATTAACCTCATCCTTCATAAATCCATCCGCCGACACGTCAACTCCCAAGTATCTGAAAACATTTACTTCTTCCATATTCCTCCTCCCCAATTTGATATCCAATTTCTCTTTATCTAAATCATTTGACACCCTTATCACCTTACTCTTTTCTATGTTCACTTTCATCTTTCTACCTTTACACACATTCCCAAACTCATCCACTAACCTTTGCAATTTTTCTTTAGAATCTCCCATAAGCACAGTATCATCAGCAAAATGTAACTGTGTCAATTCCCATTTTGAATTTGATTCCCCATAATTTAATCCCACCCCTCTCCCGAACACCCTAGCATTTACTTCTTTTACAACCCCATCTATAAATATATTAAACAACCATGGTGACATTACACATCCCTGTCTAAGACCTACTTTTACCGGGAAGTATTCTCCCTCTCTTCTACACACCCTAACCTGAGCCTCACTATCCTCATAAAAACTCTTTACAGCATTTAGTAACTTACCACCTATTCCATATACTTGCAACATCTGCCACATTGCTCCTCTATCCACTCTATCATATGCCTTTTCTAAATCCATAAATGCAATAAAAACTTCCCTACCTTTATCTAATACTGTTCACATATATGCTTCAATGTAAACACTTGATCTACACATCCCCTACCTACTCTGTAACCTCCTTGCTCATCCGCAATCCTACATTCTGCCTTACCTCTAATTCTTTAAATTATAACCCTACCGTACACTTTTCCTGGTATACTCAGTAAACTTATTCCTCTATAATTTTTACAATCTCTTTTGTCCCCTTTCCCTTTATATAAAGGGACTATGCATGCTCTCTGCCAATCCCTAGGTACCTTCCCCTCTTTCATACATTTATTAAACAAAAGTACCAACCACTCCAACACTATATCCCCCCTGCTTTTAACATTTCTGTCATGATCCCATCAGTTCCAGCTGCTTTACCCCCTTTAATTCTACGTAATGCCTCACGTACCTCCCCCACACTTACATTCTGCTCTTCTTCACTCCTAAAAGATGGTATACCTCCCTGGCCAGTGTATGAAATTACCGTCTCCCTTTCTTCCTCAACATTTAAAAGTTCCTCAAAATATTCTCATCATCTACCCAATACCTCCCTCTCCCCATCTACTAACTCCCCTACTCTGTTTTTAACTGACAAATCCATTTGTTCCCTAGGCTTTCTTAACTTGTTTAATTCACTCTAAAATTTGTTCTTATTTTCATTAAAATTTCTTGTCAGTGCCTCTCCCACTCTTTCATCTGGTCTCCTTTTGTACTCTCACCACTCTCTTCACCTTTCTTTTACTCTCCATATACTCTACTCTTCTTATAACACTTTTGCTTTGTAAAAACCTCTCATAAGTTAAATTTTTCTCTTTTATCACAACCTTTGCTTCATCATTCCACCAATCACTCCTCTTTCCTCCTGCACCCACCCTCCTATAACCACAAACTTCTGCCCCACATTCTAATACTGCATTTTTAAAACTATTCCAACCCTCTTCAACCCCCCACCACTGCTCATACTTGTACCAGTCCACCTTTCTGCCAATAGTTGCTTGTATCTCACCCGAACTTCCTCCTCCCTTAGTTTATACACTCTCACCTCCCTCTTACTTCTTGTTGCCATTTTCCTCTTGTCCCATCTACCTCTTACTCTAAATAATGATCCGATATGTCAGTTGCCCCTCTATAAACATGTACATCCTTGAGCCTACCCATCAACCTTTTATCCACCAATACATAATCTAACAAACTACTTTCATTACGTTACATTACAAGGTATGATATAGTTGATAATTATTTACACATAATCTATATTGGCAAATACAGTAGATGGTTATATTACATGGAGTTATTTGCCACGACTCATGAAATCGTAATGACACGATTGCAAACACCCCATACCACAGATGGGGTTAGAACCCACGATTAAGGTCATAAAACTCCAGACCAACACATTCACCACTGGGCCAGCTAGCCACAATAAAATTCATCCAACTAGGTATATTTATACACCATAGGAAGGTTAGCACAGGCACTACTGTGACCAATCATGTCATTACAATTTCTTGAGTCATGTTAGTGGCTTTGAGGGGACTTGAGCTAAAGTTTGTCATGGCCACACCATCTGGAGATTCGTCTGTAAAAACTTGCATTTGTGGTCACAGTGGTGCCTATGCTAATCTTCATATGGTGTATAAATATACATAGTTGAATGAATTTTATTGTGGCTAGCTGGTCCAGTGGCTAATGGGTCAGTCAGGAGCTTTATGACTCTCTGATCGTGGGTTCTAACCCCGCCCGTTGTATGGTTTGTTTGCAGTCATGTCATTACATTTCATGAAATCATGTTGATGGCTTTGAGGGAACTTGAGCTAGAGTTCGTCACGGCCACGCTAGCTGGAGATTCGTCTGTAAAAACTTCCATTTGTGGTCACAGTGGTGCCTATGCTAACCTTCCTATGTTGGATGAATCTTATTGTAGCCAGCTGGCCCAGTGACTAACACATCGGTCTGGAGTTTTACAAATCACTCATTGCGAGTTCAATCCCTGCCCATACTGTGGTTTGTTTGCAATGATGTCATTACTATTTCCTGAGTCAGTGTAGTCATTTAATTTTGTCCAATCTAAATGAGGTGCCAATAAATCAGTATTGTACCTGTATTATTATTGTTATTATTATTATTAGTTTTTTTAACACACTGGCATCTCCTACCAAGGCAGGATGACCCACAAAGAAACACTTTCACCATCATTCACTCTATCACTGCCTTGCCAGAGGTAGGCAGATATTACAATCCAGATGCCCCTCCAAACTGCAAATATCCCCACCCTTCCTTCAGACTGCAGGTGCTGTACTTCCCACCCCCAGAACTCAAATCCAGCTAACTGGTTTCCCTGAATCCCTTCAGAAAATGTTACCTAGCTCACACTCCAACAGCTCATCAAGTCCCAGAAACCATTTGCTTCCACTCGTGTGTTACATACAGAACAGTGTAAACTGATTTCTTTCTATTTATGAATACTTTTAACAAATGCACCTTGATCCCCTAATAACTCAGAGTCATGAAGAGTTGAGAGAACTGCTGTAAGTGTAGCACAAAACGTAGCCAGGAGGGGTACCAGGGTATCTCGTTCATATGGAGCCAGGGGAGAACCACGTGCTAACACCTGTAATAATGGTGCTCCTCGCACACCTGAAACAATGAAACCATAAAATATAAGATTTATTTAGGCAACATATTAAGAGCTAAAACTTTATGGAAAATAAATCACATTAAAATCAAGTATCTGTACATGGAAGATTGGTAGACAGCAACTGCCCAGGGAGGTACTACCATACTGCTGAGTGTAAAATGGAAGCCTGTACAGTGGAACCTCTACTTGCGAGCGCACCCACGTGCGAGTTTTTCCAAATACGAGCAGTTGATGGGTCGATTTTTTGCTTCCATACGTGACCAAAATTTCCATAAGCGAGCAGACCTCAAGATAGGTTTCTTGAGGCTGGTGAGGGGCTCTTGGTCTTGATTTAGGGAATTGTATCTCATTTGTTTGTTGGATTGTCTTATTGAAACTTGGGCAATGTATGGTGGAAAGATGCTTCTTAACGTACACCAAAAATGAAAGAAATCGGAGCATAAATAATGGAATTCACTTCTCAGCTCTTAGCCACCCCTTAGCGGTATTTTCGTATGGTTTTCATGGTTGTATTCTCATTTTTTTTGGTCTCATTTGATGGAATGGAAGATATATTACAGAAATAGATATGATTTTGATTGCTTTCACAACGAAAAGTACCTTGAAATTGAGCTCAATGAGGGAGAAATGCTCGTTTGCTTGACTATGTTCAAGAGTAAACAAATATGCAGTTGTGAATGGGTTGATATTATTTATACAATTATTGCAATAAGGCATAACAGTAAATCTTACATTTTTTGTGTGAATAAAAATTACAAATTATTTACAGTGGAACCTCAAAAATCAAACTTATCACATATCGAATGTTTCGAAAATAGGACCATTTTTTTGGACAAACTGTGTCCCTATTATCGAACGCACCCCTACTTTCAGACCGCCGGGTACGGGACCTGTCTGCCGCCCGCTCTGTCCACGTCCCCACGCAGGCGCCATGAGCAGTCTAGCTTTGTTTATGCTTGAGTGAACACTAACCTGCGATCTCATTCACGCATTTTACAATTATTTCGTTGTGTTTAGTGCTTGTGGGACTGTGAAATAAGCTGCCATGGGCCCAAAGAAACTTGCTAGTTGTACCCCTGTGGTAAAGAAAGTGAGAAACACCATAGATGTGAAGAAGGAAATAATACAGAAGTATGAGAGTGGTGTGAGACTTGTTGAGCTTGCCAGGATGTATGGGAAAAACAAGTTGACCATCGGTTCTATCCTGTCAAAGAAAGAACAAATCAAGGAAGCTGATGTTGCGAAAGGTGTTAATATAGAGTGGATGAGGTGCCTTCTTCAAAGATTAAGGAGATTTGTGCCAAGTGGAATGATGTCCAAATGTTTGTACAGAAGTACCACCCTGAGCAAGCTGAAACAAGCCATCTTTGCAACAAGTTCAGTGCAGAACCATGTCCCATTTTAGGGAAATGTTAAAGAGGCACCAGAAACAGAGGACTGTGGACAGTTATTTTGTGAGACAGGGGTCCAGTGACTCTCAAGCTGGTCCTAGTGGCATTAAAAGACAGAGAAGGGAAGTAACCCCAGAGAGGGCTTTACCTGAAGTCCTCATGGAGGGGGATTCTCCTTCCAAACACTAACCCCAACTCCCTCTCTCCTCCTCCCTATCTTCCAGATGCCATCACCAATCTTCAATAAAGGTAAGTAAAAATGTTATTTTATATGTATTACTATACATAATTAAAAACTATAGTAATTGTTGTATGTAAAACTGTAATTAACCTCTATAAAATGTATTTTTTTGTGTAAATATTTTTGGGTTTCTGGACCGGATTAATTGTATTTTCATTATTTCTTATGGGAAATATTGCTTCGAATTTCAGACTTTTCGAATTTAGAACTAGCTCCTGGAACGGATTAAGTTCGAAATTTGAAGTTCCACTGTAACTGATTGCCGGATTTGTGATGGTGGACCTGTACATGAATTACATATTTTATTCATTTTAGAGTATGTATCAGGTTTCTATGTTACTTATGTTGTTTATTATGTCATATTAGATCAAGTGAGATAGATAAATAAGCCGTAAAGTTGATATTAGCAAAATTGTTGAAGTACAGAATTCCACTGGAATGGATTAATTGCATTTCAGTTATTTTAAATGAGAAAAATTGACTCTGCAAATGAGTAAATCCAGTTGCGAGCAAGGTCATGGAACGGATTAAACTTGCAAGTAGAGGTTCCACTGTACATATTATTATTATTATTATTATTATTATTATTATTATTATTATTACAATATACAGTGGAACCTCAAAAATCGAACTTAATCCGTTCGAGGAGCTAGTTCTAAATTCGAAAAGTCTGAAATTCGAAGCAATATTTCCCATAAGAAATAATGAAAATACAATTAATCTGTTCCAGAAACCCAAAAATATTGACAAAAAAAATACATTTTATAGAGATTAATTACAGTTTTACATACACACAACAAATGCTATAGTCTTTAATTATGTATAGTAATACAGTGGTCCCTCAATAATCGTCCATAATCCGTTCCTGGAAGTGGGACTATTATCGAAATGGACGATTTTCGTATCAACTTTCCCCATAAGAAATAATGTAAAACCAATTAATTCGTTCCAGACACCCAGAAGTATCAACAACAATTTTTTTTTTACCTAAAAGATAGATTTACATGCACAAAAGAATGAACATTCAACATGACAGTTACCTTTATTGAAGGCTGTTGTTGATGAATGGAAGACAGGGAGGAGGAGAGAGGGAAGAGAGGTTACTGTTTGGAAGGGGAATCCCCCTCCATAAGGACTCTAGGGCACTAATAAAACGTACAAATGAACATTGGTAATAGGGGTAGTTGATGAGTGGAATGGTCTGCCTAGTAGGGTGATCGAAGCTAAAACACTGGGTAGTTTCAAATTTAGGTTGGATAAATACACGAGTGAGAGGGGTTGGATTTGAGTCGGACTTGCACCTGAGCTTATTGCTTGGGTAGCATTTGTTCTGTTAGTGGGTTGGATTTGTGAAGGACCGGCCTAGTATGGGCCAAGAGGCTTATTGCAGTGTTCCTCCTTTCCAATGTTCTAAAAGCTATGGCTTGGGTAGTTTCAAATTTAGGTTGGATAAATACACGAGTGAAAGGGGTTGGATTTGAGTCGGACTTGCACCTGAGTTTATTGCTTGGGTAGCATTTGTTCTGTTAGTGGGTTGGATTTGTGAAGGACCGGCCTAGTATGGGCCAGCAGGCCTGTTCCAGTGTTCCTACTTTCTTAAGTTCTTATTTAACATCACACTTAAAAGTATGGTGATCGAGGCTAGGACCTTGGGTAGCTTTAAGAAGAGATTGGACAAATATACGAGTTGGAGGAGCTGAGTTTGATTTATGTCATTGGGTACGGGAGTAAATTCTTGGGTAGCTTTGGGTGGAGGTCATTTTGATAAGGACCTGCCTTGTATGGGCCAGTAGACCTGCAGTGTTCTTCCATTGTTATGTTCTTATTGGCTATTTGTTTGTGTGAAGGAGGGATGGCAAGTTTATTGTTGGAGAATATGACACTAACATAAGAACATAAGAAAGGAGGAACACTGCAGGAGGCCTGCTGGCCCATACTAGGCAGGTCCTTTACAATTCATCCCACTAACAAAACATTTGCCCAACCCAATTTTCAATGCCACCCAAGAAATAAGCTCTGATGTGAAAGTCCCACTCAAATCCAACCCCTCCCACTCATGTACTTATCCAACCTAGATTTTAAACTACCCAAAGTCCCAGCCTCAATAACCCAACTAGGTAGACTGTTCCACTCATCAACAACCCTATTTCCAAACCAATACTTTCCTATGTCCTTTCTAAATCTAAACTTATCTAATTTAAATCCATTACTGCGGGTTCTCTCTTGGAGAGACATCCTCAAGACCTTATTAATATCCCCTTTATTAATACCTATCTTCCACTTATACACTTCGATCAGGTCTCCCCTCATTCTTCGTCTAACAAGTGAATGTAACTTAAGAGTCTTCAATCTTTCTTCATAAGGAAGATTTCTAATGCTATGTATTAATTTAGTCATCCTACGCTGAATGTTTTCTAACGAATTTATGTCCATTTTGTAATACGGAGACCAGAATTGAGCTGCATAATCTAGGTGAGGCCTTACTAATGATGTATAAAGCTGCAGTATGACCTCTGGACTTCTGTTGCTTACACTTCTTGATATAAATCCCAGTAATCTATTTGCCTTATTACGTACGCTTAGGCATTGCTGTCTTGGTTTAAGGTTGCTGCTCACCATAACCCCCAAGTCCTTTTCGCAATCTGTATGGCTAAGTTCTACATCATTTAACTTATAAGTACTAGGGTTATGGGCACTCCCAAGCTTCAGAACCTTGCATTTATCTACATTGAACTGCATCTGCCACTTTTCTGACCAAGAATAGAGTTTGTTTAAATCCTCTTGAAGTTCCATAACATCTACGTTTGAATCAATTATCCTACCTATCTTTGTGTCATCGGCGAATTTGCTCATATCACTAGTAATTCCCTCATCAAGATCATTGATATATATTATAAACAACAACGGGCCCAAGACTGATCCCTGTGGAACGCCACTTGTTACAGATCCCCACTCGGACTTAACCCCATTTATGGACACTCTCTGCTTCCTGTCAGTGAGCCATGACTCGATCCACGAGAGCACTTTTCCCCCAATGCCATGAGCTGCCACTTTCTTTAACAGTCTATGATGCGGAACTCTATCAAAAGCCTTACTAAAATCTAAGTAAATAAAATCAAATTCTTTATTGTGGTCAACAGCCTCAAAAGCTTTACTGAAGAAAGTTAATAAATTAGTTAGACAAGACCAGCCTCTTGTGAATCCATGCTGAGTATCATTAATCAAGCTATGCTTATCGAGATGGCTTCTTATAATCTCAGCTATAATTGACTCTAGCAATTTGCCTACAATTGAGGTCAGGCTTATTGGGCGGTAATTTGATGGTAACGACTTATCCCGTTTTAAAAATAGGAGTTACATTAGCCAT